TTCTTGTGATATGAACTTTTAAAATTTACTCTCTTAGCAACTTTCAAATATGCAATACAGTGTTATTAACTATAGTCACCATGCTGTACATTAGATCTTCATGACTTATTTTACATATGTAACTTTATACCTTTTGACTTCCTTTACCCATTTTGTCCATCCTTCACTGCCTAGCTTTGGCAACCATCAATCTGTTCTCTGTATCTATGAACTTGATTTTTTATGTGCTTGGGTTTTTTAAATTAAATTCCACCAATAAAAGAGATCATATGGTATTTGTCTTTCTCTGTGTGACTTATTTCACTTAGCATAATGCCCTCAAAGTTTGTCCATGTAATCACCAATGGCAAGATTTTCTTCTATTTTTATGTCTGAATAATAGTCTATTGTACATATATACCACATTTTCTTTATTCACTCATCTATTGATGGACACTTAGATTATTTCCATATCTTGGCTATTGAAAATAATGCTGCAATGAACATGGGGGAACATATGTGTTTTTTAATTAGTGTTTTCATTATCCTATATAATAAAACCCTAATATGCAAATCAACCAAATGGCGAAATGACCGGCAGAATGACCGGTCGCTATGACATGCACTGACCACCAGGCATCTGCCTCCTAAGAGGGAGGCAACCAGTGGTGGTGATTGGGGGGTAGGACCAGCTGGTGAGTGGTGCCAGGCCGCCAGCCAAGGCAGGTGCCAGTGGGGGGACTCCAATTGCCCTGCCCGCTGGTCACCCCACAAGTGGCCCTGATTGCTGGCCAGGCCTAGGGATCCTACCCTATATATTGGGAACAGTCTCTTAGATTTAAAAATTAAAACCTGGCAAGACTACTCTAACACTGAAAAAACAATGATGCAGCGATGACATGCATGGACTCTGGCTTGCACAGTTTGTGGTCAGCCCTGATTCTGACACTTATAACTATGTGACAAAGCCAATTACTTAACTTCTCTCTGCTTCAGTTTTCCACCCATAAGATGAGGAAAATGGCACTACTGCCTCAGAAGGATCATGTTATGTACTACTTTTTATAATCAGGGCAAAAAATGTAGCTGCCCATACAACAGCAAGATGTCTTTCACTGTATGAAAAGTATGGTCACTGGTGCATGCAGCATCCTGGATTGCAAGAGGGATGTCCGGCTGCTGGTTTAAGCCTGACAACCCCCCAAGGTGTCCCTGATTGCGAGAGGATGCAGGCCGGGCTGAGGGACCCTCCCCTCTCCCATACAAGAATTTCGTGCACCAGGCCTCTAGTTTTTTAAAATAAATACCCAGAAGTGGAATTGCTGGATCAAATGGTAATTCTCTTTTTAAGTTTATGAGGAACTTCCATTCTGTTTTCCATAATGGCTGCACCAACTTACATTCCCACCAACAGTGCACAAGGGTTCCCTTTTCTCCACATCCTCACTAGCTTTTGTTATATATTCTTTGTTTTTAATAATTGTTATTCTAACAGATATGAGCTAATATCTTATTGTGATTTTGATTTGCATTTCCCTGATAGTGATGTTGAGCATCTTTCATGTACTTTTTAGCCACCTGTATGTCTTCTTTAGGTAAATGTTTATTCAGATACTCTGCCCATTTTTTAATTGGATTTTTTTCTTGCTATTAAGTTGTATAAGTTCTTTATATATTTTGGATAAGTAATCTCGTATATTTGAATTTTTTAAAGATATATTTTATTGATTTTTTACAAAGAGGAAGGGAGAGGGATAGAGAGTTAGAAACATTGATGAGAGAGAAACATTGATCAGCTGCCTCCTGCACACTCCCCACTGGGGATGTGCCTGCAACCAAGGTACATGCCCTTGACCGGAATTGAACCTGGGACCCTTGAGCCCACAGGCTGACGCTCTATCCACTGAGCCAAACTGCTTAGGGCCGTATATTTGATTTGTAAACATTTTCTCACATTTGGTACAATATCTTTTCATTTTGTTGATGGTTTTCTTTGCTGTGCAGAAACTTTTTAGTTTGATGTTACATAGAAACTTTTTAGCTTTTCAGTCCCACTTGTGATTTTTGCTTTTGTTGACTTTGCTTTTGGTGTTAAATCCGAAAACTCACTGCCAAGGCTGATGTCTAGAAGCTTACCATCTATGTTTTCTCCTAAGAGTTTTATGATTTAGGATCTTACATTCAGCTCTTTCATCTATTTTGAATTAATTTTTTGTGTATGGTGTGAGATAGTGGTTCTGTTTCTTTTACATGTAGGGTCCAGTTTTCCCAACACTATTTATTGAAAAGACTACCCCTTCCCCCATGTATATTCTTGACTTCTTTGTTGTAAATTAATTGACCATATGTATATATGTGGGTTTATTTTTAGGCTCTCTATTCTGTTTCATTAATCTATGTGTCTGTTTTTATGCCAATGCCATTCTGTTTTGATTACTATAGTTTTGTAATATAGATTAAAATAGGGGAACATGATGCCTCTTTTGGTTTTGTTCTTTTTTTCTCAAGATTGTGTTGGCTATTCAGGGTCTTCTGTGATTCAACAAAAGGTTTAGGATTCTATTTCTGTGAAAATGCCTTGGGAATTTTGATAGGGATTACATTGAATCTATATGCTACTTTGGGTACTATGGATATTTTAACAATATTATTTATTACAATCCATGAATATGAACTATTTTTTCATTTATTTATGTTCTTTCACCACTGTTTTATAGTTTTCACTCTACAGGTCTTTCTCCTCCTTAATTAAATTTACTCCTGGGCACTTTCTTCTTTTTGATGTAACTATAAATGCAATTATTTCCTTATTTTTTTTTCATTATTAGTATACAGAAATGCACCAGATTTCTGAGTATTAATTTTGTATCTTGTATTTATACTGAATTTGTTTATTAATTCTAATATTTTTTTTGGTGGAGACTTTAGAATTTTCCTATCTACACTAATAAAAGAGAAACATGGTAATTGGCGTACAACCACTACACTTTTCATTGGCTAATCAGGGTGATATGCAAATTAACTGCCAACTAAGATGGCAGTTAACTGCCAACAAAGATGGCGGTTAATTTGCATATGTAGGCACAATGCAGGGAGGTGAAAGGGAAAGCAGGAAGAAGC